GCTGCTCAGTGCTTCTTTCCACCTGCACCCAGCAGTTTGATTGAGATGGATGATCTGGTTGTGGTTTTTGCTGCTGCCTTGTCTATTCGCTGATGTGCGAAGTCCACTGTATTCTGATCCACAGGGTGTCGCCCAGGTTATGATTCAATCTTTTCAGTTATCTTCATGCACCTTGTTCAACGCACAGCTTCAGGATGTAAGTCCTCCACCCTTTTATGTGATTCTTGAGTTTGTCATGTGTTATATGTCTGTCTGTGTGCTGTGGACCATTTAGCATGTTTTGGGATTTAGATTTGATCAATCCAAGTACTGGTGCATGTCATCAGTTGAACCTGATTCTTTGTTTTAGAAACTCTAAAGTCTAAATCGTGAAAAGAGGGAGCAGTCAGGCGTGATGTATCACCCTCTGGGTAGGAGAGAGCAGACAATGTCATTACACTCCTGGAATTTGGTTTGTGATTAGGATCAACCTCAGTTTAACTCCTATTGAGTATAACAACAGCCCAGACTGACAATAATTCAGTACAAATGAATATGAAATTTACAACACTATATTGTGTTTCTATAATAGAATTAGAATTACAATTCTATAGTCGTAAAAGTTAAAAACTTAAAAGAGAACAGATTGCATGAACTTGGATTGTATTACCTTGAGTTTGGAATATAGAAGGATGAACCTATCAGGAATTTGGAAATGTTTAATTTCAGATCAAATGTTTAATTGGAAAGCACGAAGAACCACAACATTTTATACAAACAAGTGCTATTCCAGAAAAAAGGATTCTGTCTGGAATTGGGACACAGGAGCACCCATGATACAGCTCTCTTGAAGCAGAATAGTGTTTTGAGAAAGCTGCTTTTAAGTTGAGTATATGCAGAGAAACTGTTACCTCTGTTTTAAATAGGAGACCCCTTATTTTTTAAGCGGTGATCTCTTGTTTCAGATTGCTCCTCCAGGGAAAATATGCTTTCAGCATCTACCCTGTGAAGCATTTCAGAATCTTTTTTTTTTAATAAAATCAATTCTCATTCTTCTAAACTCCAATAAATAGAGAACCAACCTGTTCAACATTTACTCAAAAGCCAAGTCCTTCATTTCAGGAATCACCCTAATGAACCTTCTGTGAACTGTCTCCAAAGCAAGTACAATGGATGTTTCATACAATGTTGATCACTATGCTACGTATTCTCTTATATATTTGGGCTCTCGTGGCACCCAAGTTAGGTCAATCTTACTGGCCCAACCCAACTGACAACCTGCAGCCCAACCCTGGTCTGACTTGACTCTCCTGGTCCCCTACCCTCCACTGTGATTGTCCCCTCAACTCACTTCTCATATGGTTTTCTGTTCCTTCATAGGATCACCTATCTGTTTCAGCTATAACTGTGTCTCACTTTCTGGACCCAGACGACCAGGTTATAATGGATCTATACTGTATATCCTGTCTTAAATAAGGAGACCAAAACTGTACACTGTACTTGATGCTCTGGTTTTGCCAATGCTCTGTTAAGCAAGACTTACCTAACTTTCATTCTCCACCCTCTTTGCAATAAAGGCCAACATTCTATTTCCCTTCCTAACTACTTGTACACATATGTTAACACATATGTTTCAAGTACAAGGACACCCAAATCCCTCTGTACTGCAACAATCTGTCTCAATTTAAGTAATATTCTGTGTCTCTGTCCTTCCTACCAAATTAGAGTCCCTCACCTTTCCCACATTACACTCCACTCACCTATCTTCAGACCACTCACTAAATCCCTCTGCAGAGTCTGTGAAACCTCTTCATAACTTGCTTTCCGACAAATACAGGTTTGATGATAATACATTGTCCTTTCATTGCAAGTACTTGAAGCCACACTGATTATTCTGGCATTTTGAAAGTTACAATTTGTCAACCCAAAACTTACATGCTTAACTTGAATCTCTGTATCCTGTTAGTTATCCAGTCATCTATCCATGCTAGATATCACCCCCAATTCCATGTATTCTGGGCTTATAATCTTTAATGTGAAACCTTGCAAATACTTTTTGGAAATCCAAGGTAAACCACATCAACTGGTTTCTCTTTATCAATCCTATTGCTGCATTCAGTTGTGTTTTCTACCAATATTCAGATGGGATAGTCTTTCAATATTTCATTTTATACGTTGTCTACTTATTGTTCTCTTAAAACTTAACACACATCACACCACTCGATTGAGAGAATTATAAATAGTGCTTAGATTTTTGAAAAGAAGGAAATATCCAATAGAAGTCCCATTATTCCTAGAAAAGGAACAGTGTGACAGTTCTAGTAGTGAATATGCGTGAATTCAGTATCTTTTTGGGATAAGTATTTTCACAGCTGTTATTGCATGCAGTGTCTTCAAGACTTTAGTGACTGGATGATTTGTGGAGAAAATAAATATTAAGTCAAGATGCTACCTAAATCGAGAAATGTGTGGATTCTTCTGATTATGCAAAGATTGATTAACATCACAAAGCATTGCAGAGGTTGCTCTTCCTTTGATTTTTGGGGAGCAGCAAGAATTACAAAAATTTGTATAAACAAATGCTATCCCAGAAGAAAAGGATTCTGTCTAGAACTGGGAAAAAGGAGCACCCATGATGCTGGTCTCCTGAAGCAAAGTAATGTTTTGTAAAGGCTGCCACTTCCAATTGTGTATGGGTTGATTTGGACTCCCCTCATTTGGTTATCAGTCATAAAAACTACTTCCTCTTCCAGTTCACATTCTCTGGAGCTGCAGTTGTCCGGCAATCAGTGTAATATTGCCCCTTTTTGTATCAAGGACTGACCAGTTAAATGCAGCGGTTCAAAAAGGCAGCTCATCACCAAGTTCTCAAGAGCAACTAGTGATGGGCAATAAATACTGGTCAGCCAACAATACCCATATCCCAGAGATGAATGTATAAAAAATAGTGTTGGCTCAGCTTCACCAATCCACACCTCCCCTCACTAATCCTTCCCACCCCTCTCTATGATTCTGTGATCCATTGCTGTGCCTGATGACCCTGGTTCCCTGCAGCTTGATTATCCTGCAACTAATCCCCCTGGGCCTGATAACTGTGACTCTCTTTAGAACTGTTTCCTTGCAAAGCCTTCCTTCTGGATCTGATGTGCCTGTATCCCCCACTAACCTGCTGGCCATGTTGCACCCACCCCCAACTTGTTGAACACGCGCCTTTCATACCCTGCACCATCCGACCTGTGGACTCTGCCCACCAACCTGCTAACCTGCCCGTTGACTTGTTCAGCTTTCACCTGCAACATCTTGACTCCACGCCACCTTGGCCTCTTGATCCTGTATCCCCCAATCTGCTGACCCTGATCTCCCCACTTAACCTGCTGAACCTGCAGGGCGTGCTGACCATGCATGATCCTCCCTGACCTGCTGAACCTGTGGTCCCCCGGCCCCAATTTGACCTTGTGCACTCCTGCTGACCCAGCATCCCTCCCCCAAATTGTTGATGGTGAACCCCCCTCATCTGCTATCCCTGCAACCCCTCCCTCTGTACCTGGTGTCCCTGTCCTTTATTATTTGCAGCGTGTTAGTTTAAATTCTTCAGTTTTCATATGTTGTACACACTTTTTTTAATTTTGTAACAAGGTTACGGTTTATGCATCAGTTTGTTTGATGTTACCTGTAGCTGTATGACTTGCAACTTGGCATACGCTGTCACTAAATTTTACAGTAATCCATCAGGGATTTAATTAGCTATAGTTGTGACATACAGCATCGCACTTTACTATCATTTGCCTTTATTATGACCTGTTGAAAGTATGGTTGAAACTCAGTTGCCTTTTATATTGATGGTTCGTTGTAAAGTAGAAATTGTTATAGAGATGAATGGATAATTTAACAATGTTTTGAGTAATTAACTGTCTATGATTAAATTGGACTTGCACTTCAGACTCTGTCACATTGCATTTACTTTAGTGTACACAGTAGGAGTAGTACAAGAAACTATACCCGTTCACGTTTACCAGGCCCCAATGAGTTTCATTCCCATGGAAAGGGGTTTCCTCACATTGCTCAAGTGTACAGTATTACAGTGTAGAACTTTAATTGTTCATATGGATCCGGTTATAAGTCTTGTCTTATCTCTGTGTGTGTGTGTGTGTGTGTGTGTGTGTGTGTGTGAGAGAGAGAGAAAAGGCAGGAAATCCCATTGTTTGTCTTTTATGCCAGTGTTAGGAGGCTTCGTGTGAACAGAAGAATTTTATCCCTGGATTTTCAGGAAACCACAGCAATAGATGTGTGAGAGTGTCTATCACTGAAGCCTTGAAAACCACCAACTATGACAGTTCTATATAGTTTTCTAACATTGGGTCTGGAAAGAGTAAGTTTTGCTCAAAAGATGTCACGGGGCTAGGTATTCAGAGGCTGGACAGTGGTTTCACACAAAACAAATTACCACAATGTTGAAGGATAGTGGGATAAATCAGATTTTTTTGCCTTTGGGTCAGTGCACTAAATAAGGCCAGCAACATCTTTTGTGTGTTGTGGGTAAATTGTAGTTTGTAAGCTTACCAAATAGTGGAAATATAAATAATATGAAAGATTTAAAAAAGGCCTGTTCAACCCATTGTGCTTGTACCAGTCAAAAGCATTCCAGCCTGTCAAAGACTGTTTTCCAGCACTTCAACCTGTAGGCTGCAGGACTTCAAATGTGATGAGGATTTCTGTCTCTTAGTGCCCTTCTGGGCGGTGAGTTCCAGACCCCATCACTTTCTGAATAAAAATATTCTTAATTCTTTATTTTTTCTACCAGTTTCTTTAAATCTCTGCCCCTTGGTTATTGACCTGTCTGCCATTCATTCTCCATTTAGTTATGATAGAATTAACTAACCTGCTAAGTACCCCTACTCTTTGTTAATAACCCATAAACTGCCATCTGTTTTTAGCATATTGTGCATGTGTATTGCGTATGGCTACTTTGTGGCTTGTAGCATCAATCATTCTCTGTGCATCTCCCAATGGTTCCTCATTAGGAACAGGAGTTTCTGCAGAAGCAGCAGCAGGAGTTGGATGGGGCACTGAAGAAAATTATCCATCAACATAAACTGGAGCTAGCTACCATTGAACGGGAATGTCTGAACAACAAACAGCAACTGATGCGAGGTGAGACCTAACGCTGGGAGGACAAGTGTGCAGCAGGTTTGAGTGATGTGACAGAGGGACAACAACTGTATTTTTGCCTTTTCTTTTAGCCAGAGAGGCAGCAATTTGGGAACTGGAGGAACGGCACCTACAAGAAAAACACCAACTTCTGAAGCAGCAGTTGAAAGACCAATACTTCATGCAGAGGCACCAGCTTCTAAAAAGGCACGAGAAGGTCAGCCTGCAGTCTGCTATTCACTGCATTTATGTGACTTTTTATGTCAGTTATAGTTATCGATATGGAAAAATGTTAGCCCCTGAGGAGTTATTGAAAACTATTTACTCTCCAAGTAGGTACCCTAAACTGCTGGAGCACAAACCTCCTTTTGCTGCCCTTTTCATTTGCCTTTTTACCCTCCCCCATTCCTTCCCTGTTCTTGTTATTCTCCCTTTACCGCAAGCTCCTGTCTCCATGTTTGTGATTTATGAAGCTGTCCTATATTTGCCCTACAATGTTACATCAAAGCATTTCAAATAAGAAGTGAATATTTTTGCATTGTGTTGTTTGATTTGTTGGCTAATAGCCTGTATTTTCTTCATAAACAGGAAATGGAGCAGATGCAGAGATACAACCAGCGACTTATTGAGGATCTGAAAAATCGACAAACCCAGGAGAGAGCCAGGTTGCCCAAAATCCAGCGCAGTGAAGCCAAGACTCGCATGGCCATGTTCAAAAAAAGTCTGCGAATTGGCTCCTCGAGTTCACCAGAACAAGATCGGGAGAAAATCAAACAGGTAAGGGCAGATGCTCCACAATCTCTGTTTCCTGCCTCTTTGATCGTAGTTCCTAATAACCATCAGCCCAGGACAAATAATGACAGAGAAAATTGTAGGAATCAGGAACTGAGTGCATATTTAGACCCTGAGTTCTGGAATTCTCCAACTCTGTTCTCTCACTTTCAAACTTAAAGAAGCTGCTTAAAATGTACAGCTTTATTCAAACTTTTGGTTATCTGACCTTCTAACTCCTTATTACATTAAAGATGCTATAAAATATAAGTTGCTGTTGTTAAAGTTGGCTTCCAGATTTTGTACATCACAACATACAAAAGTATGTCATTGGCAACAAGGCAGTTGGGATATTCTAAGCCCATCAAATGCACAGTAGACAATGGAGCAGAAGGAAGGAGAAAGAAAGTAGAGCAGAATTAGGATGTGGGATAGAGGAGAGATGGCTGAGGGCATGAGGTCACAGATGTACAGGTGACCAGAGGATTTTTGGTTTAATACATTTGGCAAGGATAATGTGTTAGAGCAAAACTAACATGTGATATGATATGGATCAAATTTTTGATGAGAAGGTTTTTGTAAGAGGTGAGTCAGTTAACAAATGTTGAAACAAGCAGTTTGCCTTAATATCACTGCAGTTACTCTCCAAGAACGAATAAAATTCAGTGATCCAGTGAACCTGTGACTGATTCAAATTAATATTATTTTGGTTTATATCAGTAAATAGTACATTTGGTCAGTTGTGATGCTTTTGACAGAAAATATCCATTATCTTTCAAATGATATCATTTGTATATTTAGATATTATATGTTTTATATTTAGCTTGACCAACGCAAATCAAAATTGCTTTGTTCACTGTTTTCCATAAGTATTTGTTTATCTTTTTGTATTGATCTGTGTAACACAAAGTCATTGCAGGGTAAGTTGTAGCAGAAAGCTCCTAGATGCGGAACTGTGGTCCGTGGCTTTTTAACAAACCTGTAGCCGACCAATTAATTCTACCATTGTCTTACAAATGGATTATGCATCTTGCAGACAGACTACTGTCAAAGAATATAGGTCTTTAATTGAACCTTTAATTGCTCAGTCATTTAGAACAGCCCTATTCAGTGTTAGCTTTAATGTGAAATAACAGCAACTTGCATTTATTTAGCCCTTCTAATGTTAAAAGTATCCGAAAGTGTGTTGAGGTGAAATCCAAAAAAATAATGAAAGCTTGGACAGAGATATGTATTTTAAAATGACTTCGAGAGATAGCAAGTCGGGAAACAGAATGTAATGGTGTATGTGGCTTTCCAGAAGGCTTTTGATATAGTGCCACACAATAGACTTGTGAGGAAAGTTATTGATCATGGTGCAAAAGAGATAGAAGCAACATGGACACAAAATTGGCTGAGTAGTAGTAATCAGTGTAATGGTCAATGGGTATTTTTTGGGCTGGAGGAAGGTATGGCTTCGGGTTTCCCAGGAGTTGGTATTGGGACCCTTTGCTTTATCTGATATATTAATGATCTGGAGACAATTTCAAAGTTTTCAGATGATAATAAACTTGGAAGAATTGTAAACTGTGAGGACAATGTGGAATTCCAAAAAAAAACATTGACAAGTTGGGGAGTGGGTGCAAAAGTGGCAGTTGAGGTTCAATGCAAAGAATTGTGAGGTGATGTATTTTGGGGTTAAAAAGCATTGAAAGACAACATAAAATAAAGGTACAATTCTAAAGGGGATGCAGAGGTGGAGGGACCTAGGTGTATATGTGCACAGACCATTGAAAATGGTAGGGTAGGTGGATTGACTGGTTAATAAAGCATACAGTGTTATTGGCCTTATTGGTAGGGGCATAGAGTACAAGAGCAAGAAGGTGATGCTGAAGTTGTACAAGACACTTGTAAGACATCAGCTGGACTATTATGTACAGTTATGGGTGTTACATTATAGGAACAATGTGAATGCATCGGACAAAGTGCAAAGCGATTTGCGAAAATGGTTCCATGAATGAGACACTTCAGTTATGAGGATAGATTAAAGAAGTTGGTACTGTCTTTCTTGGAGAGAAGAATGCTGAGAGGAGATTTGATAGAGATTTTCAAAATTCTGAGCAGGATGGACCAAATGAATAGGGAGAAGCTGTACCCACTTGTAAAAGAAAAAAAGATGAGAGAGCCATTTAAAGTAATGTGCAAACAAGCAAGCTTGCTGTGGGAAAAGTAGTTAGAGTATAGGGAATATACACTGTCTCAATGTGGTGGAGGCAGATTCTATTGAGGCACTCAATGATGGCATTGGATGATTGTTTGGATAGAAATGGTCTGCAATGATATGGGGAAAAGGCAGGAGACTGGCACTAGGTATTAGAACTATTGCAGGCAGGATAGGCCAAAAGGCACCCTCCTTTGCTGTAACAATTCATGAATTTGTGAAGAAATTGCAGAGCATAGGACTTTAGTAGCTGAAGATACAGCTGCAAGTGTTGGGTAGGGAAAGGGAGAATTTGTAAGAGAAATAAATCAGAGGAAGTATGTGTTCAGGAAGAGACAGGGTTGCCAGGCATCAGGAGATTAGAGATGATACAGGGTCCAGTTTTGAAGTGATTGAAACATAAGGATGAGAATTTTAAATTTGAGCTGATGGGGACCTTTATTTTTAAATTCTTTTTCATGGGATGTAGGTATCGGTGGCAAGGCACTTGTTGCCTATTCCTAATAGGCCTTGAACTGATTAGCTTGTTAGGTCATTTCAGAGGGTAGTCAGCCACATTGCTGGAGTCATATGTAGGCAATACTGGGAAGACAGATTACCTTCCCTAAAGGAAATTTTACAACAATCAATGACACTTTCATTTTCACTGTTACGGAGACTATTTTCAATTGCAGATTTATTAATTGAATTTAAATTTCATCAACGATGGTGGGATTTGAATTTCCCCAAAGAATTAGCTTGAACCTCTGAACTATTAATCTTGCAACATTACCACTGTGCCATTGCCTCCTCTGGAAAACTATAGATTAGAGAATGTATTTTTTTTTTCAATGATACTTCTGATCTGTTGCTGTGTGTGCAACTATGTGTCATTAATCTGAAATGCACTCAATGGATTTTAAACATGTAATAAATTGTTACGTTGCTGTTAGAAAACGAGTTCCAGTATTGGTGAAAGTCGATAAGATCGTAGGAACTGCAGATGCTGGAGAATCTGAGATAACAAGGTGTAGAGCTGGATGAACACAGCAGGCCAAGCAGCATCAGAGGAGCAGGAAGGCT